GTGTCGTTTTTTGACTTGAAATGGCCCCTGGAGACATTATTGGCCCTCCTAGAGAAACCGAAAGTACATGTGGAGTACCTAGCCTGCATTCAAAATAGATGTTTAGCAATGAAGTTGTCCAGAAATTTGTGACCTCTGTACCTAAACCAGACAGAGAAACATGTTCATCACCTTATTAATTCTGAATTTGCTATTCATCATCTGTGCATTTCTAATCCAGTATTTCACCACAGGTTATGTATGTCAACATTTAAGTAATTCAGGTTTAAAGGTCATTAGTATAGGCTGTCAGTCAGTCAGTGAAGCAACAATACAACTCAGACGGGCTAACGAACTCGTTAAGCTGAAGTATTCCGATTGGACTGATTTTAATCACAGTCATCATGACTGATGGAGTCAATCATTACCAAGACTTCAATTCACTTCACAGTCATCAATGGTGAAGTCCCAGGGCCATAGCTACACTACGGATCTTGATATGTTTCGTAATTGTCCCCTCATCCCTGGGGAATTCTGGGAACCATAGTTCGGGATGGCATTTCTACCATCTCTCCACACCTTCACTCCACACCTTCATCAAAACTGACCTAAGTGGCATCCAGTGTTCCCTCTAAGCTGAGTTAGTGTCAGCTAGCTCACAGTTTTTTAGCCTCCAGCTCACACATTTTTGTCTTAGCTCAGGGAGGATGGCTCCAGAGCAAACTAATTTATGCAGTAGCCAAATCGTTGGCTCACAACTTTAATGCAGAGGTCCATCAGTGGCTATTAGCCACAAGGTATAGATAGGGACTCTGGGGCAAGTGATGCTCTATCTTCTTGGTGCTTGGGGGGGGGGGGGGTCAACAGTGGGAGGGCTTCTAATGTCCTGGCCCCACTGGTGGACCTCCTGATGGCACCTGGTATTTCTGGCCACTGGGTGCGTTCAGACGCGGCCTTTCTGCCGGCATAAACGCGATCAGACTCACCCTCCATCTTGCAAATGCCTCCGTTGGACGCCCGCTCACACGCTGCGGGCGTCGGCGTTTGTATTTTTTTTTAAAGCAGTTTGAGCATGCGCACAGGCAGCCATTCAGAGAATGGCGATTTTTGCGCATGCTCAACTTCCC